ATCCCTGTGCTGTAGTCAGTGGTTTATTCTTTTATTGGTGATCAGTCATTTCTCTCTTGATGCTTGTAAGATTTTCCTTTTGACTGGTGTGTGCTTTCAAAGATGTGTCTAGGTATGGGTTTCTTTTCATTTTTCCTGCTTGGAATATGTTGTGCTTCCTATATTGGGACATTTATGTCTTTAATCAGTTCTTGAAAATTCTTAGCTACTGTCTCTTTGACAGTACTACTACTGTCTGTTTAGTCTCTTCTTCAGGGACTCTGGTTAGACCTATATTAGCTCTTCTCATTCAGTCGTCCATGTCTCTTTACCTCCCTTTCATATTTTTCACCTTCCTGTATCTGTGATACTATGATACATTCTGAATAATTTCTTCAGATCTTTCTTCTAGTTCACAAATTCCCCCCTTAGCTATGTCTAATCTGATAATCTGCTAACCTATTCACGGACTTTTCAATCTACCTATTATTTCTCTAGATGAAGTTTTATCTGATTATTTTTAAACAATGCCTAATCATTTTAACAGTCTCTCGTTCATTGTACATTTTTAAAGTCTTTTATTCCTTTAAACATTTCATACATGGTTGCTTTGTGATCTGTGTTTGATAATTAGAATATTGGAAGTCTTGAAAGTATACATCTGTTGTTTGTTTTTCCTGCTGATTCTCATTTACAGAGGCTTATTTCCTTGTCTGTGTGGTAATTTTTTTATTGTGAGCTTATATTTAGTTCTTAAGCTGTAGAAGTTCCTGGGGCTTGAGTTGAGGATATTATCATTTGAAGAGAAATTACTGTATCTTCTGCTGGGCACTGTGATTTAATTTCTTGTCTGGTATTTCCTCAGCTGTGTGGGCAAGTGTGCATTTGAACTCCAGACTCGTGTGAGAAAGGACTCGTGTGTTGTGGTTGTACATTGTCCAGAGAGAGAGCAGAGAGGCAGACAGGTGACAAGTGGATTTTTTCATAGCCCACCCTTTTACTTTAGGTGTATCCCCCTCAGAGAGTCCCAGCTTAATAAGGAATCATAGGTTTAGCTCTCCTACTTGCCTGGGCCTACAGCTCAGGCTCTGGTCTCTAAGATGATGTTAACCCTCAAAACACTGGGTTCCTGCCCTCAGTATTTGTCTCTAGGGTGATTCTAGCTCTGGGCCTCACAGCTGACCACTCTGGTTTCAGCTTGCTCTTCCTTTGTTGGACCGTTGGGGGGTTCCTTTACTTTCTTGCAAGTTCAGCAGTGCATTTAAACGTGAGTTTATTGTCATTGATCCAGAAGCTAGTTGTATCATGGTGGGGTGCTTTGGGGAGTATGTGGTCTGCTGTACTGACTTTTCTTGCTGGGAAACTGAGGCCCAGCAGGGTCAGCCCTTGCTCATGCCCACACAGTGGGTAAGGAAGGCAGAACCAGGCTTAGAACCCATCTCCCAACCCCTGCTGTTGTTTGCCCTGTGATGTGTGCTGTAGGCTGCCAGGCCTCAGCTCGACCTGTGGAGGTCTGTGGAGGGTGGCTGTGGTGTGAAGGGCTTTGAGGAGGGCTCACTTGGAGAGAAGTTCAGAGAGACTGTGGTCATCATCTGTCTCTGGGAAGGGAGCAGGCATGCTCAGTGAACTTCAAGAGGAGATGCGGACCAGTGGAGAAGATGGACAAGAAGGCTGAACAGGGCTTGTAGCGTGGAGAACTTTCAAACTGCTGAGAGCTCCCCCTTGCTGGAGGTGTGTGGGTATCCATCAGATGAGGGTTGGCCTCAGTTACCTTGAGAGCCAGTGACGCTGGGGTTCTTTTGGTGACTCTACGTGGCTCTTGCCTGCCTCTCCCCTGTCCATTTCCTCCAAGGGTCCATTCCAGCTCCTTTGGCAAGACCTCCCTGCCCCCTCCTGATAATGCAAACTCCTTTCCTCCAAACTCCTGTGGTGTGACATGTGGGGTCTGTGCCACAGAGCTTGGTACACCAGCCACCCAAAGTCTGGGTCTCCGTGTTCTTTTTCAGAGTGATGAGTGGTCTTTCCAAATGGAATGTCATTTTCTGCCCGCTCAGTATTTGCATTAAGGCCAATTTCCTGAAAGTGGGAGGTGACATCTGGTGCCCCCAACTCAACTCTCCCCCGATGTGGGACCGTTGAGCTCTGATTCTACCTCCAGCTCAAAGAGACAGCAGCCCCCTCCCAGTCCCACTGTGAGAACCTCCCAGTGTCCTGCCGCTGGAGATGGTGGCTATCGGAGCAGCATTCATTGGAGGGTAGATTTGGCCTGCTGACTGTGGGACAGAATTGAGTACACAGAGGCAGGATTCTGGCAACAATCTCCCTGGTCCACCCTTGCTTGGAGAGAGACAAGCGCAGGACTCCTCTCTTCTCCTGGCCCTGGATGACTGATGGGTTTATGTGTCAGTACTTGGGGCACAGATGTGGCTGCTGGAGCACACACTGCACATGGAACCATCCTTGGTCTGCACAGCCATGTAGCACAGCAAGGAGGCCCTGGACACTGACTGCACTCCCCCGTGTGGATGGAGACCATATGCGTGTTGGAGGGGGTGAGAAGTTGGAATGATTTAAGAGTCATTCTTTTGCACAGTGATTATTATCTTAGCCGATTGCAAAGAATCCTTAGGTTTGAATTCCAGCAGGGAGAAAATATGTGTGTGGCTGATTGGAAACCCACTCCCCAACCCCTTGCCCTGCCCTGCAAATCCTCCTAGGACAAGGCTGGGGTGTAACGGGTTGAGGAGGACATGGTCTCTCCTTTTTTTTGGTGTTTATTGTTGTAGTTTAAGTGAAAGTTTACATTTCAAATTAGTCTCTTATACAAAAATTTATACATACATTGTTATGCGACCCTAATTGCTCTGCCTGTACTGTGACAGCACACTCCTCCTTGCCAGTCTTGATTCCCCGTGTCCATTCAACCAGCTTCTAACCCTCTCTGCCTTTTCATCTCACCTCTGGATGGAAACTGCCCGTTTAGTCTCATGTATCTACTTGAGCTAAGAGGCACATTCTTCACGAGTATCATTTTAGGGACATGGTCTCTTGATGCATGTGATTCTTTTCCTCCCGTGGTGTCTGCTCCTACTGGGGGAGGGCAGGAGGGCTGGCAGGAGGCCCCTCTGCCAGTTGGACTTTCTGTCATCCCTTGTGGTGGGTGCTGGGGCGCCTGGTTTCCTACAGCAGCACCAGTCTCCAGTCTCACTAATCAGTGGGGTCCAGACACGGGCGCCAGGCAGGCCCAGGGCCGGAGCCTGATGCCGGCTGCTGTAGTGAGCGTGCTCCTGAATGGGAGCAGCCGCCAAGCCTGGGCACGAGGGAGAGGGGCTGGACTGGGTCTCTGGGGCATACGTGTCCTTTGCTGCCGGGGCTCTCTGCTGCAGCCTGGCTCTCCATCCCTGGCTGGCCCAGGAGCAGGACCACAGCTGCTCCCCTGCCCCAGGGGCTCTCACGCATGTGGGTTGGAAGTGCTGTTCCTCTACGTTCTGTTGCCAACAGCCCCTTTGTGGGTTGTAGGTTGGTGACTCTGCTTATGAGTGAAAAAGAATTGGTGGCTGAAGGGCATGGAGATTCAGAAGTGATGAAAACAGAAGCACAAATGAGACTCCACCTCGGCTCCTGGAAAACAGTGTGGGTGGGAGTCAGAGGCTGGGTTCTGCTTCTGTCCCCATCCCTGACCATCCCCGTGGGCCTCTCTGCCTTTTGTGGCTTACTCGTGGTTCCCAGACATTTACACACACCAGCCCAATTTCAGACCATTACTATCCTCATTCTACAGAAGAAGAAACAGAGGTTCTAAGAGGTTACCTTACTTGCCCCAGGCCACTCAGCTCATAAGGAGCAGAGCTGGGCTTTGAACCCAGGACTCTAGTTTCCAGTAGCTGCATTGCTACACCATTCATTGATGTGTACTTTTTGGCAAGTCACTTCTCTCTGAGGCTGTCCATATGCAGCAACAGGAAAATGTTACAGAATAATGTTACATGAAACAAGCAAAATACAAACAGGTATATTCAGTATGGTCCCAGTTTTGTAAAATAACCTACACACACCCAGAAGAAAACATGTTAACTGTGGTTATATATCTGATGAATAATAGTAAAGTTGATTTAATTTTACTTTTTTTGTACTTTTCAGAACTTTTTTACAGTGAAATGTTTTATATTCAGAAAAAAAAAGTTACTTAAATTAAAAAATAGTAGGAGTTGTCTGGTAATGGGGTGGGCACCCCCAGCTAGGGTGAGCTCCCTGTCCTTGGAGGTGGGCAAGCTGGGTGTCATTTGTCAGGGATGCTCACTGTTTCAGGGGCTTCAGGTCCCTGGGCCTGTGGGAGAAGGGAATCATCTAGACCAGTGCCTAAAATTGGGCCATGCCTAAGAATCACCTGGGGATCTTGTTCAAATGCACGTTCTGATTCTTCATGTCTGGGGTGAGGCCCGAGATCCTGCGTGTCTAACGGGCCCCCGGGTGATGGTCATGCTGATGCTGCTGGGCCAAGCTCTAGAGCACTTTTCTCCCTGAATTTGCCCTGAAGGAGTGCCCGCTGCCGCCGCCCCAGGTGTGGGCACCCTAGGACAGACAGATTCTTCCAGAAATAATTGGAAGGGTACAGAGGATGTTAGGACCAGTGACTTGAACCAGGGTTCCCTGGGCTGGGTGACATTTCTGGAAGAGGCTCTTCAGAGAAGTAGAAAGATAAGGGTCATGGTCAGAGGAGCTGTGTTTGAGACCAGGCCCCTCCACACTTTGGCTTTGTGGAAAGGGTTTCAACTAGGCAGGCCAGGATTTGAATTCCAGCTCTGCAGCTTGCTAGTTGCATGTATTTGGGCAAATTACTTTGCCTCTCTCAGCCTCAGTTTCTCTGTAAAGTGGGAATAAGAATGCTGGCCTGACAAAGTCATGGTAAGGAAGAAATGACTTAACATATTTTAGGTACCTAGCATAATGTGTGGGGTACATGGTAGGTCCTTAGTAAACATTTGTTTCCCTTTAAGCTGCATTCTCTTCTCTCCTTCCAGGTAGATGAGATATACCATGATGAGTCCCTGGGGGTCCACATTAACATCGCCCTTGTCCGCTTGATTATGGTCGGCTACCGCCAGGTAACACCCCTCAGCAGCAGGAGGGTGAAGGAGTGGGGTAGGGGACAGCATCTAGAAAAAACTGTCTTAACAATCAGAATCCTGAGACCATTAGAATCGAGGCTTCAGTGGAGAAGGCAGTTGGGAATTGGTAAGTGGGGACTATGGGTGCCCTCCAGTCTGAGGAAGTGACAGTCTTATTACCTTATAGCTGGAAAGCCCTTCTCCTTGAGGAATGGATGGGGAAACTGGGGCTTGGAGAGGGGCAGCAAGGATACAGATCCTTCCTTGGTTCAGCCCTGGGTCCCTGGGCTCTGCAAGCTTAGACCAGGCACTTAAGCTCTTCCAAATGGGGGTGACGGCAGAACTTTCCTCTAAGGGCACTCATGAAGATCAACTAAGATAGTGAAGGTAAAGTGCCAGCACAGAGGAAGTGCTCAATTAATGTTCTTTCGTTATCCCCAGAAGTGTTTAACAACCCCTGCCTTGCAGGCTGGTCCAGGGGATTAGAGATAATGTGTATTGAGTTCCCAGCAGACACACGTGTTTGGCGCATGAATGTTCAATACTTGTTCCCCAAAGTAGGGAGGACTGTGTGTGGCAGCAGCCAGGGTCAAACAGCCAGATGACCTTGGGAGAGACACTGTAGCCCCATGGGCCTCGGTGTTCTCATCTGTAAGTGGGTGGAGAGTGGCCTGGGTGCCCCCTGTGGTTACTGGGGGCTCTGACTGCTCCACCCCAGTGCTGATCACCTCCCGGCCCCTGCAGTCCCTGAGCCTGATTGAGCGTGGAAACCCTGCGCGAAGCCTGGAGCAGGTCTGTCGCTGGGCGCACTCCCAGCAGCGCCGGGACCCCGGCCATGCTGAGCACCACGACCACGTCGTCTTCCTCACCCGGCAGGACTTTGGGCCCTCAGGTATGCAAGGTACTGTATTTGCCGGGGCCAGGTGTGTGCCGCCTGCCAGGTGAAGGCTCAGGGCTGAGCCTGGGCATGAGTAGGCTCTCTGGGGCCCATTCAGGGAGGTTTGAGAGGCAGGGTTCCCGTCAGCAGAAAGGTCCATGGGACTTTGGGGACAGGACATAGATGAACAGGTTGGTGGGCTTTGAAGTGCCTTCTTGGGGACCAGGGGGAATGAAGGGACCCCCACTCTGACCCCTGCTGTCTTGGCTAAGCCTGGAGGCAGCTGTGAATGAATGGTCAGGCCCTGTGCTTAGTGTCCCCAAGCCCTTAGTGGTCTTCAAGATGCTTCTGCCCGCACTGCATCCATCTGTCCTCATTGCAGCCTGTGGTGTAACTAGGGCGGGGCTTGTGTGGGCTGCAGAAAAGGAAGTTCAGGCTCTACCCCCAGCTCCAGGTCTCACTTGCCCCATCATCTAAGATCACTTGATCCCCTGGACTCCAGTTGTCCCAGCTGTCGAGTGAGGATATAATAACAATATTTGCCTCCTCCATTCCAAGGCTGCTGGGAGGCCAAGGGCTACACGACGTGTCTGTGACAGAGTGTTGACAGCTCTCAGCACTGTGCAAACATATGAAACTATGATCACCGCCAGCTTTCCATCTAGGGAAGCCGAGGCACAGAGTGGTACAGCGGCTTGTCCATGTCCTGTAGGAGAGTGGAGACAGATCTGAGACTTAGACTCAGATCTCCAGGCTCCCAAGTTGAGGGCTTTCTACTTTATTCCGGTTTGGTGGTAGAAATGAGTCAGACAGCCCTACCCCTACCCAAAGGGCTTCTTGTCTAAATCATTGAAGCCCCAAATATGGGTTCCTGTATATACAGACCCACACATACACAGACACACGCGCATATGTGTGTGCACAGATAACAATGCACACACCGACACACGTACACATACATACACATGCTTGCATCACGGGGACAGCAAATCCCAGACCTCCAGCCTAAGAGGCCCCAGAAACCTCCTCCCCATCACAGACTCATCCTTATAAGCCCCAAAACCATCTCAAATAAAAGAACATTTCAGCAACTCTGAAGACAGGGAGTAGTTGTCTGGGCGGCGGCAGACCCAGGCAGGGAGTGCAGGCAGGGAGCGCTCGCTCCGTCGCCTCCAAGGTGGAATCTGCAGGAGCTTCCCTGCTCCCACCCAGTCCCCTAGCCCAGGAGGAGGCCCTAGGTCTGTCTGGAGAGCAGGCCCCTGGGAACCGCCTGCTGTTGTTGTTAGGCGTGGTAGAGAACTGCCCCGTAGTGTTTCCAGGGAGCGGCTGGTGGATTCAAATTGCCGAACATTTGGTTAGCAGCCTGAGCTCTTAACCACTGTGCCACCAGGGCTCCTGGAATTGCCTAGCACACCATATCTGCTTAGTAAAGGCTGGCGGAGGCTACAGCCCAGCCCCACAGCTCTGCTCACAGTTTCCCAAAGGCCTCGCTCACTACAGCTTCTGCACCTGGCCCACGTGCTCCCCTGCCCACATGCCCACTCCCCCACCTGCCCTCAAAGCCCAGTTCCCATGCCTCGTATCCGTCACTCTCTGGCCCCTCTCAGCCTCTCCAGTTGAAATCATTCCCTCCTCCACGTCACTCCCACACACCCCACTCTTCTCCTGGAATTCAAGCCCTTCCGGCTCGCGCCTAATCGCCTGCTAAGCCACAGTGTCCCTAAGTCTGCCCGAGTGTTGACTTGGATGGTGCTTGGATCTGGTTCCTCTCTGCCGTCCTTATAGTATCTGACACGGTGCCACCAGCCCCCAGGAAGCAGTCGGAGCTTTTTTGTTGACTGACTGACTAAGGAACTGACTGCCTGGGAGGCGGGGCGCAGCCTGAAGTGGTGTGCAGAGACTCTTGTCCTTCTGGAATCCCACTGCCTCGTTGAGAGCAGGGGCCAGGAGACTCTGGAAAGCTGCTGGCCAAGAGGGAACCGTAAGCTTTAGGAGGTGGGGGCAGCTGGCCCAGGTTTGCTGTATGGCCAGGTGGGACTTTACAAGTGTCCTTCCTCTTCCAGGGATGCTCCGCAGTGACCAGACTCAGATGTCCCTCAGTGGTCCAGCTGGGGACAGCCCTCCAGGTGTCCTCTCTCGCCTGCCCATGACCTCACTCTGCCCTTTCTCCCTCTCCCCTGGCAGGGTATGCGCCCGTCACCGGCATGTGCCACCCCCTGAGAAGCTGTGCCCTCAACCATGAAGATGGCTTCTCCTCAGCCTTCGTGGTGGCCCACGAGACTGGCCACGTGTAAGTGGCAGCTGATGGGCAGGCAGGCTGGTGGCCCTGTGACTTTGGAGGCCTGTAGATGTGGGAGGGTTTTGCTTCCGATGAGGCTCTGGCCCCGTGTCCTGGGAGATGCCAGAGGATCCAGCCTGCAGCTGCGTTGCAGGGCTGCAGAGCTGCCTGTGAGGGAAGCCCTGCCCCAGCACTGTCCTGAGGGGAAGGGAGCCAGGGGACTATGGCACAGCAATTCTGGGCCCTCACTGGGCACACCCTCCCAGTGCCAAGGCCATGGAGAACCAGATTTGGCCCTGCCTTGTCCCCAGCAGAGGCACTTGCCTGCTCCCTCTAGGTGGTCTCCATCCCTGGCCTC